TCTGGAACAAGACATAGCCCAACCTAAACATTTGAGATAGTAGTCATGCAAAATCCTTGATCAACGTAAAGGGCAGTATATGTGTTCTGCATGTGATCTATTGTTCATGAATGTGTGTTATCTCTTTGAGCAATAAAATATTCATTGTGTGACATCTAGTGGACATATTGCAAATGCAACAAACCTTCAAACAAACTGGTGAATAGTGTGGCTAAAGACATGGAATGATTATCGGTCATCAACTCAATGCTGACTTTTGACAGATAGATCTGTCCCCAACTTTTCCAAAGGTTTACCCATCACTGCTGTAAAGAAGTCCAACCACCTAATTGCTTATGATCCCTTTCTTCTCTTTCCTTCCATCTTTCCCAGCATTATAGACTTCTCCAGAGGGTTAAGTCTATGCATAATGTGGCCAAAGTATGATCATTGAGCCTCATCATTGAAGCAGAATCCTCTGTGATTATTGAAAAGCTCCACTGAATTCAATGGGATTTAATACAAGATAAATGAGTAAGGACTACATCCCTGCTACAGAACTATTTTTTACTTACCAGATAAAAATCTCATTTGCATCCATGAGGTTTACCTTTGAGACAGGTTTAGGTATAGAACAAACAATACAATATAATTATTTCTCACCTTTCCTTTAGCATTCCCTGTGTAGATATATTCCCCTCGTCGATCAAAAGAAGCTACCACATTGAGATCAGAATCATCATCTACTGGTAGGACAACATGCTTTGAATCAGACAATGTTAGCATTACTGGGGCAGATTTCATCGGACATACTAACACCTTGTTTCTAAAGAAATAGAAAAACAGAAAACAAATAAATTCTCAAACATCAAGCAATGCATCATCAAAGACATGAAAAACACAACAAGGGAAGTATGTTTCCCCCCCTAAAAATGAATCGTATTTTGTACTCATAAACAAGTATAAGCAGGATTAAAAAATTAATTCAGTATCATTCATATTCTAAACAATTAATATATTTGGTAAATTTGTTCTCGCTCCCCCATACAGTTATTCAATCATTTCACTTTTATTCCACCTGTCATCTAAGAAACCAATCAAACAAAAGGACAAAGATGACATTCTCTATACAGTGATTATTCAGCAGAATAGTGACCCAGTAAAGATATTTGATATGATCTGGCTAGGGATGAGAAGGATGAGGAGAAATGGATTCAGAAACAATTAAGTGATAGTTCTGTCATTCATGATTCTAACAATATTGAAACTAGTGAGCCTGTTCTTAGAGAAACTCATTAAATTCACAGAATCCTTTGCCTGTATCTGTTGACAATAACTAAAAATCATAGATTTAGCTATTTAATCATAGGAAGAGGTGCTTAATGAAAATCCAGGACTAGGGATTGAATTTCACAGATGTGAGAGACTAGTCAAAAAGCATGTAAGTGTTAAGAGGAGAGCAAACTCTGCAGCAATTCTTTAATTAATCTCCGCTGTTCACTGAATGGAGGTTCAGCAAAGTTTATTTAATGTGCTCATTCCCTTTGGGCAGAGTTAAGAACAGTTTATCAATAAATCGTATGAATAACTGGCATTGCTGCATCTTGGATTTCTTTTGCATCTTCTGAATCCAAATTTTGTGAATTTACTACTTACTGGTAACATCACTTTCAAACCCTGCTTTCCTGTTTGACCATGAGTCTGACCTCAAAAATGCAAAAGGATTTTTTTCAAAGGTTGTATTTTTACAATTTGCTGTTATAGTCTGAGCCTATTTATCTCAGATCTAAGTAAGACTCCACACCTTCTAATTTGCCTCCTAGTAATTTGCATGCCAGCACAGGAAACAATTATAATTAATAATGTATGTATTAAATATAATAAGCAGAATTGACAGCTATTTATTATACACTATATTGCCAAAAGTATTCTCTCACCTGCCTTTACTTGCATATGAACTTACTGTAAGTGACATCCCATTCCTAATCCAGAGGGTTCAATATGACGTCGGTCCACCCTTTGCAGCTATAACAGCTTCAACTCTTCTGGGAAGGCTGTCCACAAGGTTTAGGAGTATGTTTATGGGAATTTTTGACCATTGTTCCAGACGCGCATTTGTGAGGTCACACACTGATGTTGGATGAATTTATGTGGCCTACCACTTCGTGGCTGAGTTGCTGTCGTTCCCAAACACTTCCACTTTCTTATAATACATCTGACAGTTGACTATGGAATATTTAGGAGCGAGGAAATTTCACGACTGGATTTGTTGCATAGGTGGCATCCTATCACAGTTCCACGCTAGAATTCACAGAGCTCCTGAGAGCGACCCATTCTTTCACAAATGTTTGTACAGTCTGCATGCCTAGGTACTTGATTTTATACACCTGTGGGCATGGAAGTGATTGGAACACCTGATTCTGATTATTTGGATGGGTGAGCAAATACTTTTGGCAATATAGTGTAATTTTAAAACATATGCTGCCCAACTCTCAATTCTAGATGGCTCACTACAATCAAAGAAATTACAAAACATTTAATGAACTATAAATACAAAAGGTGACAAGCGAACAAACCAACTGGAATGAAGCAGTGAGTCTCACTTTCTCTCATCAAAGGCCTAGATAAAGACCCAGGCTTTCATGGCTGTTCTAAACACCACCAAATGAGGGCTACTTGAACCTTGCAGGGAATCTCATCTCTCCTCCAAGTGCCAGATTCAGAGACTTTGTATTTTGTATATTTGTATTTCCGTATGTAGTTAGGAAAATGTATATGGAAGGAAAATTCCTAGGAAAATTCCATACAAAGTTTAGAACAAAAGCTAGACTCAGGACCAAGAGAAAAACAGATATTGACAGAATGAAAGGCAAGATCTTTCTCTATCCCCAAACATGTATTTTGCATGTGCTTGGAAACAATACTGAATTCTGAGAACCTTAGATCTCAATGCTATCAACCTGTTGATGTACTGAGTCACAGTTTTTCAGACTTTCTTATTTCTGGAGCCAATATATCTACAGTGGTGACAAAACTGTATGCCCAACCTAGCCATGTTTTGTTTTTGTTCAGTTGTTAAGCTGCATAGTTAAGAAAAAAAACTGTTTGACTACTACAACCCATGAAAAGGTATTATAATTTGAATATACTTCAAAGAAATTATCTAGATTACTACTGTTTTTAAACTGTGTTAATATTACTTACTGATCACGAGGATGATACTGGACTTTCAGAATAGGAGAAGGAAAACGAAACCTCTGATCACAATCACCAGTCAAAACATCCCACTGAGACACCATATTATCAGTTGATGCACTCACTAACTTGTGACCATCTCGACTCCAACTGAAACAGAAAGATCTAAATAGCCTCTCAGCACAGCTCTCACTGTCCCCATCAAATATCATGTTGACAAGTGTTCTGCAGCACTCCAACTTTAAATCTGATTTCCAAAAACATTTAAAGAATCAAATGCCTTATAAGTTCAATGGAAAAATCACACACTACAGCTTTAACACATCTTTTACGTATCACATATTAGCTGTTATCAAAACAAACTACTGCATATGTGTTTGAGATTCAAATTGCAGCTGAAGTGATCACTGAAATTTTTATTGGAACAACTTTCAATAACCAAAAACCCTGGACACTTCATTCCAATTCATTTTTCTGGTGCAGCTGCTGATGTGTCACACAAAGTTTTGAGTGGCCTAGCTATCAACTATGCACATCCCTGAATGGTAGCTTCCAGTAATAAAAATTAGTAAGTATTATCTAATAAAATGTCCAAAGTTGAAATGCATGAACATTGTACAATAAATGCATGCAGAATTCTTTTTTCTGAGCTCAACTGCAGGCATATCATCCACAAAGCAAATTAAATTTGTATTAGGATAATTCCTTACCATAATGAACAAACTGGGTGAATATGGGCACTTATTATTTTTGCAATGCCCCTTGTCAAGAAATCCCAAATGACAATTCGGCCATCATTACAACCCACTGCTAGAAGAGTGCCCCATCTGTTAAAAGTACATGTAAGAGCCATACTAATACAATCCAATGTGCCATCAGCTTCCTGAAAACAAAAAGGGGATAAAAAATGGAGAGGTTTCATGTGTAGGTTACATAACTATGTTACTTCACTCCATGAAATGTCTCATGCAAATAAATAACTTGTTGCAATGTTCATATAATAAGTTGAATATTTAAGACCCACAATCTATTTCATGTGTATGAGCATATACCAAAAGTTCTCCTTTCTAGCCCAGTAAAATAGTCACAAACAATCGTGCAAAATATTTATACAAGGGTAAATACATATACATATATACCTCTGGATAGTTCTGCCCAAAGGATTCTGGAAAAAAAGAAGAAGGAAATATGAAGGAAATTCAAAAATGCCACACTCATTTTTGTTTCATGTTGCATTACTGAAGATCGAATGATAGGGGTATGTACTGAAAAAATAAATCTGACCTATGAATCAGTAGCATACTTTACAATATTATATATGCGATCCAGAAACTGAAGGAAGTTTTAGCAACGAGGTTCAAGTAACTTAATGTATTTCTAATTGAAAATCTGAAAATCTTCTCTTTTACTGGTAAAATTAAACAATATTTACTATTTTTGGAAGAGCAAAATATAAATTCCTTGCTGCAGGAATCTCAAAACTGTATTCAAAATTACTCTTTGGATTCCAATAACAATATAATCATCAAAATTAAAGCATTTCTTAAAGTTAGAAATCTTCAAAAATAAGATGTTGCTATGCCTTAAAGGGAAGCAATTAATAATGTATATATTTTTTTAAAAATCTAGAAATATACAAAGGGTTTTTTTGACAGGCTATTTTAGAAATAATTATTTGGTGAAGTCCATTAATTCTCATTTATCATCCAAATTCATTAACTGTAACTTCATCTCAAGTGAAATAGGCATGTACAGTAGGATTGCCTTAACTAGACTAGAAAAAGATGTACTGTATGTCTCAAAATGTTAGGAAGCTGAGGCTTTTACCAGATATTTCTTTATCACATAATTTAGAATAGAATTACAGAGTTGGAAGGGACCTTGGAGGTCTTCTAGTCCAACCCCCTGCTTAGGCAAGAAACCTTATACCATTTCAGACAAATGGCTGTCCAATCTTAAAAACTTCCAAATGTTGGAGCATTCACAACTTCTGGAGGCAAGCTGTTCCACTGATTAATTGTTTTAACTGTTGGAAATTTCTCCTCAGCTCTAAGTTGCTTCCCTCCTTGATTAGTTTCCACCCATTGCTTCTTGTCCTCCCCTCAGGTGCTTTGG